GTATCACTTGCTACATTATTACAGACTATGCAGCTGGTCTCTCAGGCTTTGCTGGAAATTTGAAAACATGAAATGCTGCACAAACCCTAATCAAATTTTATTAAATGTTAAGCTAAAGAAATGTCATCCCCTACACCTCAGAGTAACAGTGATTCCATACCTAAGCCTAAATAAAGCTGAAGACTCAAGGCTCGATTCTGGCCCTATTTGGTTAGAAGGCATTAGTGATGCTTTCCATCATTTAGGGATCTCACTGCCCTTCAATACATATGTGTCAGTCTTATTTGTGTCAAACAGATTTTAAAGAAGTAACTGCTGATACAAATAAGCAGCTTGGAGAGGTAAACTATTCTTGTGCAGTTTGTATTTTCCAAACATTTTGAGAATGATACCCAAACCCCATTGGAATGCTCTGGCCCATATTTTAAAAGCTACCATTCAACCTATAAATCATCTTATCCATGGATATTAAACTACTAATTCAAGAGTTCAACTCTAGTAGCTTGCCATGAACAAGAATGACCAATTATTCCTTCTTTTTTGGGCAATGGTAAATTTTGGTGGGTGAGAATATCTGTGTATCATGTGCTTTTGACTTGATTGAGCTTCTGAGGTATGTGAGGTATTTAAAGTTTCACAAGCAACATTCCTTCAATAAACTTCTCTAGCTTAAATGGAATTTAAACCTAGGTATCCTGAGTACTAGTTTAATCTTATCCACTAAACAGTCAAATCACATATAGAACACATGTATGCCAAATGCCACTACTGTGAATAGGAAATGCATTTCAGTCTTGAGGCACTGATTCAAAATGGGGAGATCCTAGAATAAAGTTTGCTATAATCTTGATCAAAAACCCTGCACTGAATGAACTACAGTATGTCCTATTTTTCTCATGCCACCATGTCTCCATAACATATTAGTAACTTGTTAGCATCTGAACATGGTCCATAAATATTGAGGGGGAAACTGCAAAAGACAAGAGTAAGTCCATACTGTATGTTCTTGGGAGAATTCTGATCTAATCTGTTTCTGAAAGAACTTCTTCCTTTCTTAAGTAGAGTTTAAAATGAAATCTAATTAGTACTAGCTATGGTAAGTATTTATGTAAATGTAAAAAGCACCAAAGTGAAAACCAAATCACAGGATAGAGGGAAGATTTGCAAGAAGGAGACTGCAAGTCCAAACTGCATTATCTCTCATCTTATTTTTATGAAGAGATTAGGGCTATTTTTGTAATCTCTGAGTTGTTCTGTTTCAGACAACTACAAATATTCAAATGGTCAAATTGAGAGAAAAATCCAGATTAGCTTTAACAATAGTAATGTACAGAAAGTACTTTAATATTGCAATGCATCTTCTGTTAAAGTCAACAAATATGTTGAAATTAATATGCAATATATATGAAAATTTAGCAGAAGAAATAAATTTACAAGTCAATATCTGTTTCACAGAAAGAAGAAATGTTTACTAGGGCATGTACATTAAAAATAATACAGCTTAATTTTCTTACATATAACCCTTCATATTCATTTAAGTGGAACATAAGTGCAACAAATGTTGTCTAGATTCAGTGCATTGTTTTTACAGGACTATGCTATGGATGCAAGATTACATGGAAACATGATTCAATACAGGACTACTGTAGTGGGGAAAGGCTATTTGAGTGAGTAACGATATTGCTGAATGCTTCTCTACAGCAAGGCAAGATTTTATGTGTCTAGGAAAGATAGCAGTAAGCCAATTGCGGAAAACATCCCTAAATACCTTGTACTTGTCCAGATTTCAGGGTAAGGTACTCAGAAATATGGTGGCTTCTCAGTTGCATGAGTTCCTAGATGAAACTGATTATCTAGATCCAGCTTAATCTGGGTTCAGAATTGATTGTATGATTAAGATAGCTTTGATTACCTTAGTTGGTGATCTGTGCTGAGAACATTACTGTTAGTTTTGCTGAACCTTTCATTTGATTCTGATGCCTTCAACTTTGACAGGTTCTCGACTACCTCCCTGGGATGAGAGCTGCAGCCACTTTTTACAGTGGCTTTGGTTCTCCTGGAGGGGTGAACTCAGAATATGATGATGGAGGAGTCCTGTTCTGCCCCCAGTCTATGGCTTATGTGCCACTTTAGGGCTATTTCATGACTCTTATGTAATTTAAAATACAGGAGGACTGTGGTATCCATGGGGTATCAGTTTCAACAACAACACCGCTGTAGATGCTGGAAATAGCAGATAAGTGAAGCACTTACTTCCAGTTTCTTTGCTGTCCATGCATAGTTGGGAGAGGGCACCCTGGCCTAATCTTGAAAAAGGACTAGGTTTCCTGCACCCCTGCTCACAAGGGAGGCTTCTCTGAAACCAGCAACTGCCACCTCCCCCTTGCCCACCCCTGCAAATGCAGCTTCTCTGTTTCACCAGAAGCTGCTTCCCTCAAAGACATCAGGCCATGAGTGCATTTCCCTTACGCCACCTGTATATAATACTGTATCTGGTTTCATTTAGCAGCTAGACCTGTTAATGCACCTTGGGAACATTGATTGATTGATTGATTGATTGATTGATTGATTGATTGATTGATTGATCGATCGATCGATCGATCGATCGATCGATTGATTGCTTTAAGGCAATGGATAAGTGAAACTGCAGGTACTGATCCCACGGATATGGTGGCCTTACTGCATACAATATATAAATGGAAATGCAGGGGATGTTGTCTAGCATTTGGAAGTTCATTGCAATAAGTATACAAATAATAACTAATTAGAGATGGGCATGAACCACAGTTCAGTGCTTCAACCAAGTTTGGTACTGTGCGTGAACAGGTGTTATGTGAGTGCTGCACACTCCCCTCTGAACATTCCCTTCTCCTGCCTCCTCTGCATGTTCGCCCGTTCCCCAATTGATGCAGGTTTCCCTCCCCACATTCCCAGCACAACTGCTGAATCATGGATTACAGCATGTGCTTCTCTCCTCCCCAACCTCAGGCAGCTGCCCTCTCAAAGGCAGTGCTGTAGGCTTCCCTGCCATGCCTCCTTGTCTGAGTGGCCAGCTGCCAGAATAGAGAAGCCCATGTTGCAACTCATGAATGGGCAGTCACACTGGAAAGGTGAGGAGGGAAATGAGGTGCTGAACTTGACTGAACTGCTGAACTGTGGTTCACATCCATCTCTACATCTAATCTGTTTCTCCTTTCCCACTGTAACCCAAGAAAGCTGTTTTAGCTCTGAATTGGTATCTAGTGTCAGTTATGGCCTGGATAAGTGCAATCAAACTGTCCCTTAGTCAGGACAAGACAAGACAGAAGTGTTCATGGTCAGGTGAAACATAGATTTTTAATTTAATTTTCACATAATTGGAGAAGATAATCAATGACCATGATGTAATGAACACTTCCAGATTTTCTTGTCCTCATCAAGAAAGAGAAGCAATGCAAGCCCGAAACGACTTGTGTTCAATGAACACAATGAAAAAGGTAAAGTTATGAGAAGAATGGAATCTCATCTAGCAAGGAGAAAACATTTTTTTAAATAAATAAATAAATTAAATTCTGGCCTGCAAGAAAGAAGCAAGTGAAGATTTTCTGCTCAGACAGTCACTGAGCATCTGACTTGCTACAATAGAAGGATCTGTAATGGGCATGCTGGATTTTTAACGTTCTTTTAAATTGTTTTAAATGTGCTTTAAAAATAGTTGCTTTAATATGGTTTAAATGATTTTAATATTGTTATTTATTAATTCATTTACCTGGATTTTGTCCTCTAAATATACTGGAAGTTGCCTTGAATCCATTTAGTGGAAGACAGGCAGATAAACAAAATGAAAGTTTGAACAAAGATTTAACAGCAATATCCATGATTTCATCTTTCTTTTTCAAGCCAGCTTTTTCATAAAAAACATGCACGTCTGTCCTTGTAAAACAGTTTCATTCATGCAATTTCTCCACATGGTAATGTAGCACATTACTCTATTTAGTTAAGATAATCAAAAAGATCTGTTTGTATAAATCAGGTTTCAGACATGTGACAGGACTGCATTTGCTTGACTGAAGCTATTGTGCCATCTGAACTTAATCCTTGAGGTATCTGCTTTGACCACAGTGACACAGTCCCAAGGCACACACTCAGATGCTTTTGAAAACTTCAGCTGCAACTCCCTTGTTGCAACAGCTTCAATAGCTATTGATTTTGTTTCCAGGTACAATTCAAAATTCTAGTTGTAACTACAGATGGGGACGACTCATCATATTGACGAGTCATCCCGCTTCGTAAGTCGTCAAAAGTTGACGACTCACAAAGCATGAAGTTGACCCCATGAAGTGATGAATAATAAAGTTATTTGGCAATTTAGGGGGGGAGTTATTAAAAAAGGCTTGGACACCCTTGGAGTATCTTCCAATTGTATAACTCTATAATTAGAGGAAAAGAGGAAGAACGGATTAAGTTTAAAATACTCCATTTTAAAGAATTCTGGAATCCATTCTGTGAATAATATACAGTTTATCCATCCAGCTTTTCTTAAATTTGCTTTACCTAACACAACACAATTCTGCTAGATTTGTAATACTAGTTTCAGAGAATCAATGAGTTCCCATAATATGAAAATGTGATACAACCTGTAGAAGATAATGACTTCTTTACACCACCACTCTCTACAACACTAAAATTGTGGAAGTACACCTAATTATCGCATGCAGTGAAAGACTGGGCTCCTGTTCCTTTGTCTTGGCAATAAATATAGAACACTGAATGCAGCTTTTCTTATTCCAGTGTGCCAAAGATAATCCCATTTCTATAAAACTCTTTAGGGTACAGAATATCTGTCCTTCACCTCTGAGAGCCTAAGGGCAAAATACCTACTAAGTATAGGAAAAACAAACATTCATCAAGAAGTATGTTCGGTTGCATAACATCTTTTCCCTCCAGATTCACAACATTTCATGGGAACAAATATAGTAATAAGAATTACTAGAAACAAAAACAATTAGTGCTCTTCCTACCTTCCCCTTGGCAAGTCATTGTCATCTTTCTTCCAGCGTACTGTTGGCTGGGGATCTCCTTGAACTTGGCATCTGAATTCTACAACTTCTTCCTCCAAAACCACTTGGTTGATTGGTCGCCTGAGAAATGTGGGTCGTTCTTGAAAACAAGAGTGACACATTAGAAAGGTTTGTGATATGTTACTCCAAGTGTCTGAGAACAATCCAGCACATAGACTGCCCGTATATTCACCAGAGACTTGTTTTCCATCCCCACTAGGATGGAAAATGATATCTCTTTACATACATCTCACACCTACAATTGATGCTCCTGTTCTTTTTGGTTACTTTTGCTATGAAAAGAGGGGACAAACAGGTCTATGTGCAAATCTATCACAGGTTCTGCCCAACAGCACACTAGATCATGTTCAGTTCAGACATGGGCTTTTACACTGTAGAAATACAATGAAGACAAGGGGTAAAAGAGAGGAATTTGCTATACCCCTTTTACACAATGAAGCAAATCAACAATAGGTTCAGTTACTGCATGATAAATGTATTTGTTTATAATGTTGAAACACAAAAACAGATTGCAAAAGTCCTATCTCTTGTTACCACTTCAGGAGATCATGTAAGTCAAGTGAAAATCTTTCCTATTATAGGAGTTACAGGAACACATCATTCTTCAAGGAGAAATACAGAATACTAAAAAGCTTTCAAGGAGAGAAATTTTACAAAAGTGCAGATTGAGACATGCAGAAGAATGGACGATTTGAAGTATCTATTATTTCCAGTTTGCGTCATTTCTGCACTTCCCATGTCGTTTTCTACCTATGTATCATCCAGAGTGTGTGCTGAATGTATCCCATATCTAATTATACTTTTATAAAATGATCACAGTGAATACTATTGCAAATGCAATTAGCATTTTTATGTGAGATTAACTGGATTTGAATCACCTGCACAACTTGCTTACAATGTTAATTTCTCAGGAGACAAAAATGCAGTTATCGTGTAAATGCTCAAAATATATTTTTATATATGATTTTAGCTAATTTCATAGCAAATTTTAAAAGAGATACATGCCTCTCTTTTTAGAAATTTTTGGCCATATATTCTGGTGCCATAATTAAAATTGCAATTTTTACAGAACTGTTCAACATATAAAATCATAGCCATAGAATAATAATGATGATGTTATCAAGTCGGTTCTGACTTATGGTGACCCTTTCCAGGACACACAGAGCTATGCAGCTTGCTCATGACTATGTAGACTGGCTTTTATTCTGCAAAGCACATAGGTAAAGGTAAAGATTCCCCTTGACATTTAGTCCAGTCATGTCCGACTCCAGGGCGCGGTGATCATCCCCATCTCCAGGCCGTAGAGCCAGCATTTGTCCATAGACAGTTTCCATGGTCACGTGGCCAGTGTGACTAGACATGGAATGCCGTTACCTTCCCACCATGGTGGTACCTATTTATCTACTTACATTTACATGCTTTCGAACTGCTAGGTTGGCAGGATGCAAAGCACATACAGCATATTTAATGTAGCTGTTTTGCAAGCCTCAACTGCATAAATAAAAACCCTCTCCATAGACTTTATTTCTGTGAAGAGTACTAAAATATTTGAAGAGTGATATAACACTGGTACAAGCCTGAAGTGGCCTTGATCCATTAAAGCTCATGTATTGTATGTATGAAGGTTTTTTAGTGGTATATAAAGCTATTGCCTACTCTTGCATTTGTGTTTTGTATTTATCACACGGCTCCCTTTTATTTCAATGGAACATTGATTACATTTATATGTTAAGTCACCTATTTGTTGTTTGTTGTTATGTGCCATCAAGTCAAGTCCCATCAGTGACCTCTAAAATATACTGACATATACAGCCAAAACTCAAGGATGTGACTTCCTTTATGCAGTCAATCCCCCTTATGTTTTTTGTTCCTCGTTTCCCTCTGCCTTCACCTTTTCCTAAAATTATTCTGAGTGTTATCTTTTCATGATATGCCCCAAGTACAACAGCCTGAGTTTTATCATTTTTGCTTCTAGAGAGAATTCAGACTTGATTTGATCTAGGACCCAGTTCATCTTTCCGGCAGTGTGCAATAGCCACAAACCTCTCTCCCAGTAGCATATTTTAAATGAACTTATTTTTGTTCCTGTTGGCTTTTCTCACTGTCTAGGTTTTGCATCCATATATATTAACTAAACCAAATCCCTTATCTAAACCAAATCCCTTATGAATACACAGGGGAAGTGATGAACAGATGTAAGGAACTAGATTTAGTGGACAGAATGCCTGAAAAACTATAGATGGAGGCTCATAACTGTACAGGAGGAGGCAACAAAAACCATCCCAAAGAAAAGGAAATGCAAGAAAGTGGCTGTCCAATGAGGCCTTACAAATAGCAGAGAGGAGAAGGGAAACAAAATGCAAGGGAGATAGGGAAAGTTACAGAAAATTGAATGCTGACTTCCAAAGAACAGCAAGGAGAGAGAAGAGGGACTTCTTAAATGAATGGTGCAAAGATATAGAGGAAAATAATAGAAAAGGAAAAACCAGAGATCTATTTAGGAAAATAGGGGCAATTAAAGGAACATTTTGTGCAAAGATGGACATGATAAAGGACAAAAATGGAAGAGACCTA